GTAAGTGAACAGATAGTGAATGAAATATAAAGATTTAGCTCACAGGCCTCATGTTTTACATTTGTGGGATGAGTGGGAACCTTTGTGTAGCAACATGAAACAATAATAATGGGAGTTCCAGCAATGAGAAACCCACTAAGTCTGCACTCAAGGTGTAGAGACCAAAACACAAAATTTGATCTACCTAATTACACCAACGTTTGTCTGTATATGTAACGCACATCTCACGAACCGTCCATCTTATCTTATGTTTCCTGTAAATTGTCCAGAGAAGTGTGGCGCAATTTACACATGCCATACATTCACTATTAACACAAATTAAATCAACAGGTGACAATGGAGGCGAGGCAGTGTGCTAACAGTCAGAAGAATTATTCAGCCCACTGACTATGTCCTCTGATACTGCAATGGCTGGCAACTGGGTCAAACCACAGGTTCGAATCGACACCAGACAGACGCAGACATTGTCATGAGTTGCGAGTGTTGATCTCCATCATGTCAGCAACATAAAATCAGTTCCACTTGAGCAAGTGGTCCACAAAGTAAAAGCACAACATCCATTTTGTTGATGTAAGGCTTTGCATTGAGCAGCATTACAGAGTTGTAAACTTCCAGTAAATTATTAAATCATTCAAACCTATATAAACCACACACGTGACCAGAAATAAGGAAAATTCTGTTTAATTTATTAAACAATTATCGGCATTTCCGCTATGTTAATTTCCCACTGCAAAATTCAAGGTCAAGGCACACACACATTATAGACACAGTATCCCTGTGCTCTGCTGTATTACCGTGCAGTATGTCCTCTGTCCTCACTCCCCCGCAGACTGCGCTCACTTTGCACATTAACAATAAATACCAACACTAATGAGAAATTATTAGGACGCAAACAATACTTGAAGTTTAGAAGACACGTATTTAAAAAAAGTTTTGCCACAGACAACACGAGACGAGATATGCACAGTCAGGACATCGGGGTTAAAGAGACCGGAACGATCGGGATTCATGATCAGACACCATCGATTAATAACTGAATACATCTGATGGTCTTTGTTGGTGTGAAGAGGGACAGAGACAAGCACGCACACACACACACACACTTCATTCTCCTGGAAGAAGCGAGGCCTTGTTTATCCACAAACTTAAATATCAATTCCGCAGATTATTATAAAGATCGGTTCTACATGTGAGCTATTCTAAAAGAGCAGAGGATATTGATATGAAGTCATATCACCCAGCCCTAGTCAATTTGCGTGAATCATTGAAAGTAAACAAAGGACTATTTGCCTGACATCAGTGTGAAAGCAGCGCCACATGGCTACGATTAAACACTGGACATAAGTATGACACATCCAAGCCTAGGAGGGTAAATCCACCCAGCCCTTGTCATCATGAAGCACTACAGCATGAGACCAGGAGCCTCCTTTTCACATCTGTAATTAGGATCTGTGGGGAATTCCGCCCAGTTTCACAGAGCAGCACCAACTAATTCTGGTTGTCTACAAACTGCTTCCTCATATATAACAGGACCACAATGACACTTTCTTAGTTCCAGTTGTTGAAATGAAAACGAAAAGCTTCACCTGAAAAGTCTGTGTGTTCTTGTTTGTAAGTTTGAGTATGAATCTACTTACGTGGAGGTGATGGTGCGAAAGCGCTCCTGTCCTGCTGTATCCCAGATCTGTAGCTTCACCTTCTCCCCGTTGATCTCCACTGTTCGGATCTTAAAATCCACCCCAATCGTGGTGATATAGCTACCTGTAAACACACAAAATCAAGTTAATGACCCACACATTTGGAGCAAGAGGTCTTTAAAATATGCTGAGATAGAACCACATACCTGAAAATGTGTTGTCTGCAAAGCGCAGGAGGAGACTGCTCTTCCCCACGCCTGAGGAGGAAACACAAGCACAGGATGAGGTTTAGACAAGTACAGATTTCCCATAAATGATAAAATGATGCATTCTTTAAAATATTTCAATTCTGACTTAAACAAAATATTGCAATTGTATAAGAACACTGTGTTTAGAAGGTTTTGTGCACCACACAAGAGAAACTTTCCATATGGCTTAAGTTTAGTTTCTAATTATATCCTAGTTACCCGAGATTACCACCATGTGATGACTGTAAACCAAAAGAAGACGTCCACCTGAACATTTAATGTAATCTTCGTGTTCCCACAGATTTTGTGCTTTATAAAGACAAAGTTGTTCAGCGTGATGGATTTAAGTTTAACAAGGCAGCACCTTTAGTGTTCATTGAAAGCATCTTGACTGTGCTGACACAAGCTTAATCCTTGCTATCACAGATGTAACAACTTTTAAAGGCTTGTGTCGAAGCCACAGAGGCATGACAACACACTGGAACAAGTACTAGAGTGTTCCTAAAATGATCGAGCATTAAAATAGGTTTTAGGAAGAAATAGATAAAAGAAGAAGGAAAGCAGAGGGCTAAGGGGGGTGGGGTTTAAAAGAAGACAGATGAGAAGGAGTGCTGTGTCTTCATCAGATCAGTTCTCAGGTAACTACTGGAAGTTAGGAAGTGACTCTGCTGTCCGGCCTGGGTGTGACTCAACCTGCAGCCCTGTGTCTTCGCCTACCTATTGTGTAATTGTCATCTCATGTTTGATCGGTCGCAACATAAAAAGCTCTCAGGTTCCTGTGGTCTCCATGCTGCAGCTTTTTGTTCAAACAAACAATAACGAAAAGCTTCAAAGGAGAAGAGAGGGAGAGAGATCATATTTTTGTACTTGAGAAGCTTGCCTTTGTTCTGTCTTTCCAAAAACTATCCGAAAGAATAAAACATCCAGTTTGACAGTGACAGAACTATTCATTTCCATGCCTGGAACTTGTGCGACTTCGTGGTACTCCATAGGTTTTGCAGAGGAGTGGCATCTTATGTGTTCGATTAGGTGCTTGACGAAATATCAAGTTACATAACTGCTCTAGTGTCAGACCACTGTGTCACGTGCATGTCCTACTGTGACAGGCCAGAGGCTAAGTGATAAAACTCAGCCTCAGTGCAGCGTGGGTAATCCAGTGTGTGGAACGGGTGGATTCTCAGCAGCACCTCTGTCTACAGGGTCGGGAACATCTTTCCAAAATGGACTTGATGCATCACAGCAGACAGTTGTGTTTCCACGCTGCAGCTGAGGGGGACAGTGGCCTCTGTGTGTGAGTGGCAGTGAGGGACTTGCTGTGCCGCCTGACCCTCTACTGTGAGCAGCCAGCTGATGGGGTGGTGCCAGGATCAGGGCTGTCAATGAACGCAAAGATCATTTCCCACAAAGAGGTCCTGCAGGAGGAGGCTCCACTGCTACTGAGGGTGGAGCCGCATTGAAAAGGCACCTCAATGGGGGGAGATAGAAGAAGAGCACATCAGGTGTAAACAGACGATGCACCTACCTGGGACATGATATCACAGCTAAGGTAAACACGTAGCAGGTGGTGTCTCAGCAGGTCAGCAGACATGTGCACTGAACTGCATGTTACTACAGTTGTCAATGAGCAGTTCATTAGTGTCACTTCACCACACTTTAACAGGCTGGATGCAAAGATGCAAACCAGAGGCTGCAGTGCAGCATTCCTCCACTGTGAAGCTGCTAGCACTAGCATGCTAAATAACAAAACGTATCTTGCTAACTTAATCTCATTTAATTTACCTGACAACAGAGCAGTGGGAATATCAATCGAGAAATTCGAGTGGATGTACGTAGAAGTCAATTCCTTCAAGGCATCAGCTTCTGAGTGCAGCTACCGTGAATGAACATTAGCCCTGTGTGTACTGTTAGCCCAACTTCCAGCTAGCTAGCTAGGCTAGCAGGGGTTACAAACAAGAGGCCACATTAAAGCAGCGTGAGACCTCTGTACAGTGGTTTCGGTCCCAGTGCGTCTTCGTTGTGTTGCTATAATAAATGTGTGAGTCGATATGAGCACAGGAGCAGAGATTCATCGACACAAACCCTGATGATCTGGAGGCGATATCCGGCCTGATCGCTGCCATGCCCGGACACACAACCTCCGCCCAGTCACCGCCACAGAAATATGGCGGGTGTGTACATTTCACATATAAATTCCATGCATCAAACGAACATATGATAAGTAGTACATGTGGCAGGCGGATACACCCGGGCCTTATCATTGCATTTCTGCTTCGCTCCCTGAAAAAAAACAGGACAAGGCCCACTTCCCGTCCCGCATCCCCGGCGTCGGCTTACCGCTGTCACCGATGATGAGCAGCTTGAAGAGGTAATCGTAGTCCCTTGCCATGCCGGTAGCTAGTGGCTCACCCCCGCCGTGTGCCGCTTCGTAGCTCGGTTCTCTGCCCGACCCCCTCGGCCCGTGGAAATAAAAAATCACCAGCCCTCCAGAATCCCACGATACGAGAGAAAACGACCACTAGAAATCCTACAGACGCTTAGCCCCCGAGCCGGCGGCGTTTTTTCTCGGGGTTTCACGGCGTCAGCAATCCTCCCTCTCCGCTGCAAACAGCCGGAAACTCCGCTTCCTTCTCTGGTGGAGCTGCACCCAACTCTGACCCGGCCTCACTGCGCAGGCTCCGGCTACAGCCCGGCCGTCCCGTCCCATTGATGAAGCGCACTCATGCTGCTGGGAGGGCACGGTCCTCCTTTATCTAAAGTAACTCTATAGTATTCTTGCAGTAATTGTCACATTGCACTATATCCATCCATCTACCTACACGTGGATAACCATCAGCTCTATTATACGGTAGGATCACGTCATCCTAACCACCTCAACGGTGCATGATGGGATAAGGTTAATATGTCCAAGCAACGTGACAATTTGAAAGACTTTTCCCACAGATGTTAATGTTTACTTCTCGTGGTGATGATGCTTTTAGAGCCAAAAACAAGATGATGTCAAAATGACACTCAAGTGCTAAACGTCCTTACACCCCCCCCCTTTTAAAAAAAATTCTGAATCCTCCATTGCACCTACAATGTAAAGAACCTAGTGAAAACACAATAACACACTCCATTATGAAATCATGATCTTTTTATTTTGTATTGCCTTTTTACAACCGTCTCAATTGACATAAGCATGTTTTTGTTTGTACTCTTACAAGAGGCTGTTTTTGCCCCTGAACAACTCTCACACACAATCCAAATAAAAGTTAAAGATAGGGGTGTCACTTCATTACAGTGATGTCTTGACTGCTTGAAATCATTTTTGGTAAAATAAGTAGCAAAACACAAAACGTCAAAAAAGAATTTGGCCTTGTGTCTTCCTAATTTAATTAATTACAGGGGGACAACCTGCACAGTGTGAGATAAAAGAACAAAGTTATAAATCGGGCTTAAACGCCACTAAAACAATTATTTGAGGAAGAAAAAAAAAATTTGTTTGGGGTAATATGTAGGAAGTCAGTCAAAAACCAACCCATCTCAGCCTTTGTCCATGAAAGGCAACATGGGCACGTGTGGTGAGTGTGTCTGGGGCTCTCAAACAGTGAAGACTTGTTGTACATGTCAGTCAACCTTCTGTTAATTTCTCCAGATGTCACTTTATGGTTCAGTCCTGCTCCATCATGTTAGGATGGTGTCATCTATCTCTTCATTAGAGTCTGGCATGCTGGCGATTTTCTTCAAAGACCGGCGGTGACACTCAGACAGTAGGTCGTTACTTGCAGAATCCAGAATGGCAGTAATACTCTGAAGTGAAGGAAGAGCAAAAAGTTAAAACAAGAGAACAACAGTTTTTTCTAATGTACATCATCTCCATCTGTAAATTATATTAGGAATGGTTTGCAATCTGACCTGCATGGTTTCCTCTCCCTGGCGGAGTCGTAACAGGTTGACGATGGTGTGTTCGCTCTGGGCTCTGACGCTAGTGTTCTTGTCCTTGGTGTTGTCCAGCAGACTCTTCAGCACAGGCTTGATGAGACTGGCCTCCATTGAGGGCGTATCCGGGTCTTTGAACACCCACCAGAGCACCCGCTCCGACACCAGTCTGATGTCACTGGACTGATTCTGAAGACACTGTGTGACCACAAAGACGGACGACATTATATTACAAAGCCTCCATATATTACACACTGTGAAAGCAGGTACTCTTCACCGTATTTATTCATTCAAACTCTTGTAGATTCATGTCTAACTAACTAATGACTAATGCACAACTACAGTATGCATCCTCGTGCAATCATCCTAGTAGTACATTTATCTACAAACAATATTCATGTCCGTAGAGATTTGTACACATTCTGCATTTTTATTTGATTTATTATTTTCAGTCTATTGCCTTTTTTACATTCTGACTATCTGCTGCTGTAACATGTAAAGCTTCATCTTATTTTATCTTACTATTAAGATTTACTGTACAACTTAATACTTTGAGAAATTAATAATTGATCAACGATATCTGACTGAAGTTCTTGAGGCTTCAAAGAACAAATACATGGATTTGAGAGGACTGGTATTTTCCTTGCTGATTAAATACCATCATATTATTACAACTTTTAAATCTATGAATTAAAACTTCATAATACTATTAACATATGAGCAAATCTAACATGGTAAAAGAATAGTAAAGAGAAAAACAACTGACAACCCCTAATAGCCCCTCATATCAAAGTATGAAGGGAGCAGCCAATTGTTTATCAATGACACCCACTTCCTCGCATGTACAAAGGAAGAGGGAAGGGAAGCCTGTGATTATTATTAGCTGATTGAAACGGTTCCTGCTTTACCTTGACTAACTGTGTGATGATGCGCTGCGAAATATTACTGCTTCCCTCTGTCCTGAGATGATGCCTCATCAGATATCCCATCGCTCTGATTCCACTGGTGGCAATGGGGATCTGGAAGAGCAGAGAACAACATGTATTTAAAGAGAAAAGAGGTAGGTTAATGTACGATTTAAGGAAATAGTAAAAGGCAAGGAACTACAGGATGAATTACGTCCACAAAAGGGGTTATGTTTTCCTCTGCATTATAAAAAACCTATTAGGATTTCCATGAAATTGATACAGCGAGATGGGACTTCTTTGGCATTTTGCATGAATCTTGATGAAATAAAATTCAGACATATTTAAGGGTTTGGTATCGATGAGTATGGACTTTCTGATTTGTTTGTTTGCAGGACTACTCAAAAACCACTAAACCAGTTTTCATTCAAATTGGTGGAGGGGTGGTGCATGGCCCAAAGAGGAATCCATTACTATTTAAGGTGGATCCAGATAAACTGGCGGATCTCAGAATGAGTTTTTCTCATTGCGAGATAGGGCATTAGCCTTGGAAGAGATATATGTTGACTGAGCTATTTGTGTAGTTATAAACATTTGAAGTTTTTGTAGTTTAAAAAGAATAAAACATGCAAATACTGTTTGCTAAATCTTTGAATAGTGTAATAATCCACAATCAACTTTAGAAGAAGACTGATACCATACATGTCTGTCACAGAAAGTATGAAGCCACAGCAAGGAGATGTTAGCTTAACTTAGCATCAATACTGGAAACGGGTTAAAAGCGCTCTATTCAAAGTTAAGAAAAAATGATGTCCAGCGTTATTACTCATTTGATTAATCAATTAGGTTGAATTATAGATTATGAGCTGGAGCAGCTCTTAGATGGAAGGGGCTTTCTGAACTCTGCTGGTTTCCTACTAACCTGTGGTAACAAGTTTCCTGCCAATAAATTGTTGAGCACATCTCTTTCAATAAAACCACAACATATAAATAACTGTATTTCCAAATATTTAAAACAATTTGAGATGAGTTGTCATAGAAAGGTGGACACAAACTTGTTCCTCACCCTGTCAGCGGTGGCGTTGGTTAAAATGGTTTCAGATACAGTGTCAAAGTATTCCTTCCCACACAGCTTCTCAGGAGCAGACTTCACAGCTATGGCCAGAGCCAGGCTCCGACCATGACGGACCATCCAGTCCACACCAGACAAGTCCGCTAAAGAGAGAAGTAAAAAATAAATGAATTTATTCATTCATGCAACTCAATGTTTTACTGATGAATAGAGAAGAGCGGAAAACTAGGTAAAATACACACACAGGACTTGTAAAGCTTTATTGATTGAGTTGTATTAGATATCCTGTTTAATAAAGATATTTATAAAAATACATGAACAATACTTTTTGAGATTATGCAGGCTCAGTCTATGCAACATGTAATTGGTAAGAAACAGCTGTCCGTGTTACTGAGAACAATTAAATTGACAAACCATCACTATACACACATACAGACATATTTGGTTAAACTGGACGACTGAAGGTGATGATGTTGCATATAGATACCAACCTAAGACGTGCTGAAGTAACACACTCCTCAGCTCATCCTCTGACAGGAAGGCACACAGCTCACCAACACAGCCTGCTGAAGCCATTCGAGTTGCATCCTACACACGCACACACACACACACACACCAGACGGAGCAAGGTTCAGTGTCATTTATTCTAAAACCACCTTTTCAGAAAACCACATCCTCTGTCTGGCTTTCGTTTTGTCTACTTTGATCTCAGAGAAAATGACAGCACTGAACATCTCTCTGTGAAATGTATTCTGTGTTTATACATTTATTTAACTGATAATTAATTCAGTATTTAGTATTCAATAACCATTACTGGCCCTGAGGTAAAAAAAAAACGGGCATGCTGCAACAGAAAAATGTCCCAGCTCGACTCAATGCTGCAAGACATTTGCTCCTCCTGTCATACCTCATCATGTCCCAGCATGCCTAGCAATGTGGTGGTAATGTTCTTGCGGATGGCTGGGTCCACCTTTGACCCGGCCCCCTGGATGACAAACCTCAAGGCTTGGAGCATAGTCTCCCTGACGGGGCAAAGAGCACAACACAGGAATTAGTATGACAACAGCATTAATTAAGAATAGGAGGCCAACAGTAATGGATTTCTTAAGTGCAGATAACAATTGTAATGTTTAAAAACATAAAAATATATCTGGTCAGGTTGTATTCAATCATAAACAAACAAATACAATGCTTTAGGTTTGGTTATTACAGAAAGCCAAAGTTCACTGACTGAAAATTAATTTGTCAGTTCCCTCTGGTGGACAAATTATGCAATGGAGATACTATCGTTAAATAAACCCAAACATCACTGTTTCTCAGACTTTGCTTCTTGATGCCTTAAACTAACACATTATGTGTTTATGCCAAGTTCTTGGTTATTGGATCACTGTGCAGTTCACACTACAAGTCTTTGCTGTCTTGTGATCAGGAGCACTGTCACTGTGAGTTCACACTACGTGACTGACACTACAAAATCCTTCACCAGGAGAAACCCTCGACTAGTATATCTGGTTTCCATTGATGGGAGTTTCTTGAATCGTGTCTTTCACACTTGCTATTCAAACACTGATTACGCTCTGACTTGGGGCTTTTGCTTGTGATTTCCAAGAATCACTGGTGACTGGAAAATTCGGCAAGAAATGTAGTGTGAACTAGGCATTACGATTCCTCTTCACAGGATAGGGGTTTGATTGTGTGCGAGCTGAATTCATAGCATCTTGCCTCATCAGATTTGAGGCATTTAAGTCTTAAAGAGGTAATAGTTGAAATTATACAATCACTACTCTCACAATCTCATGTATGCATTTGTTATTCAACACCAAATTACACTTCAATATTGAATAACTAAAAACCACCATCCTCAATAGGAATCAAAAGTTCATATATAAATCATTATATATGCACAGTCAATTTCAGCTTAATCATTAAGTTCCCAAAAATAGCGACTCTCTTCCAACCTAAGCTCCAAGTATCTGTCTCCTGTAGGAGCCCTCACCTGACTCCAGCGTCCTCTGCGTTACGAATGGCAGACAGCTGCTCAGTGAACAGTGGGTCCACCTTGGTGTGGATGGAAACCAGCTGGCCCAGAGCCTCGGCAGCCCTCAGCCTCACTGCACGGCTTGAATCCAGCAGGGCCTTCAGGAAGGTGGTCTGCAGCTGAGGGAGGAAGGGCTTCAGGGCGATGCCGACCTGGAGGAGGAATACGAAGGTTTGAGCCAAAAGATGGAAGTCGAGACAAAATTAAACTTGATGTGTGATATGTCTGCATATTCAACAGTATTTTTGGTGTCCCATTGGGGGATGCAGGTGCAGACCTTTGCCAGCAGCAGGGTTAGTGTCTCCAGCAGAGCGGTCTTCACTGTCCAGGCAAACCGGTCTCCCAAGATACGAATGAGAGGTCCAGTTATGTTGACAACAGAGGGTCTCAGTGCCTCAGGAGACGTCAGTTTGATGACGCCTCCTAAAGCTTTCGCTGCCTCTTCTTTCTGCTCAGGGCTGCCGGTGAGGACACCTTCTCTGAGGACAGGCAGGATACAGGTCACGCCCTGTGGACAGAACATAATAATGATTAATCTGTTTATGTTTTGATTAAATGCTTAATTACTCTGTAACATGTCTTAAAAGCTTAATCTGACAACTTCACATTGCATTTTCAATGTTGATACAAGTGTTTTCCATTCATTATCTGGACTGGTGGCCCACCACAGTTATATAACGAACCCCAAGAGGTGTGTACGCTTTAATAATAACTCATAACAAGATAAGAGATCTCTAATTTGATGTTTTGCACCATTGCTGCATTGTATAGCTGTGTGCAGTGCTATTTGCTGAATGCTCACTCGTACCATCGTCCATAAACTAATTACTGGCCTTACAGACGTAAGTTAGACTGCACAGTTTCAGCTTTGCACACGTAAGTGGTATGCAACACAGTTCTTTCTCTAACGCTAACACTTGTTTTTCGCCCTTTAGTCTTTGAACCCGTCACTTGGAATCTTTAGTGCATGGGAGTATTTGTCCGCCCACACATTCAGCCCCAATACCGCCATAGATTTCATGAATTTTGTGGGAAATAGATTTAAAATATTTTAACCAGAGAGCCAAAGAACTGCTCATATTTGTGAAACTGGAACCACTGAAAAACAGATAAGTGGAGACATTTCTATGAATTACAATCACATATGTGGGGGGTTAAAATAGAACTACCAAGAATGAAGTCACCAAGCTGTTAATGAAGTCTTAGTGTTTAATGTGTCAGCAGGAGCCTCTTACCTTCTTGGGCAGACAGAAACCAGGCAGGTGCTGACCCCTCACGTCTGCAGCTGCTGATCTAATGTCTCGGTGCAGGTCATCGATTAGAGCCAGCTGGCTGCTGGCATCCAGTTTCTGTGAGACAGAAAGTAAAAACACAGTGTCCACATTTACTCTTTGACTGTACAGGACTAAACTCTTTGCTTTATTTCCACCATGTTGTATAAATAATAATATGGCATCTCTACATCAATCGAAGCTGTGTACAGGTACTTTTCATTTCCACTTCAACACACCTTGGTGATGGAGTTGATGGTGTCCCAGCTCTGAGACAGGACCTCTGGGTTGGAGTCATTGAGAAGGCGGATGAGGCTGGACAGTAAAGTGCGTGTGTGGGAACTGTAGTCCAGGCGGGTACGAGCAAAGTAGGCATTGAGGATGGTCACGGCAGCCTGTCTGTGGCCGGGGTCAGCACCTCGTGTGGACTCCAGCAGGTCCTCTATGATGATGCGCTGGCCCACTTCGTCTTCCACTGACAGGATCACTGTTTGGCAGCTGCACAGCTCCTGAGGCAACCATAATTCATCAGGGTTATTGTTAGTTCTTTATGAGCATGAGGACAACACGATAAGGCTGAAGTGCAACCGGAGCGGTGGATGTAATAATTTGTGGGTGCTGGTGTTACCTGTGCTTCATCCTCTGTTCCCAGCTTCCCTTTGAGGGAGGAGAGCAGAGCAGGCAGAATGACACCTAAGTGGCGTGTCAGAGCGTCACCAGCCACGGCGGACAGGAAGGCAAGCACACGGGTGTTCACAGGAGGAGCAGTGAGCTGGTGAGGGAGGACATCAGCCTTAGTCAGTCATCTACACACAATAATATGGACTTACACAAGAAAACTAGACTGTGAACATTACCTTTGGAACTAAGTAAGGCAGAACAGAGCGACTCTTCACAGCCATGACCTGCTTAAGACCATCCAGAGCAAAGCCAGCCGTCTCCTCGTCATCCTGGGAAAACACATTCAGTGTATTATAGACCAGATTTCTTTTTAATGCTATCTGGATTTAAGACTATTTGTGTCCTTGTTCGCTCACCAGCTGTTTGAGCAGGTTAGGCAGAATGTCATCCAGCGCCTGGTGACCAATGGTTGCATGGAGCTGCTCGAAGGTTTTGGCTGCAGCCTCTCGAACCTCCTCCAGTGGGTCACATAAAGCCTTCCTGACTGTGGGGACCAGTGATTCAGAGAAGACAAGTACCTGCAGTACAAACACCACCAGGTTAGTAATTCATGTCTGTTTCACTTCTCAGACTCTTGGTTTCAGTTTTCAGTAATTTTTTAGATTTAGATCCTGAACTAAAAAGGAATCGACTTTCATAGTAAAATGACGACAATAAACAGTGCATTAAAAAGGGCACTCATTTCTCTTTGAGGGACTGAACCTAGCACTTTGCCTTTGTTGAAGAGAAATGTGTGTGACTCACCGCATCTCTGCTGGTGGACTTCATGATCTCACTCAGGCCGATGCAGACGCCCTGCCTCTCATCGCTCTTGTCAGAGCGCAGCCCCTCCTCTAGGATGGGAATGATCTCAGGGAGAATCTTCTCTCCCAGCTTCCTCACCAGGTCACCCAATGTCCGAGCAGCAATCTATAACCACATGGACACAGTATCAGTAAAAAAAACCCTGTGGGGTGTAATTATACATCCACAACATAGCAAATACTGACAATCGTCAACCAGGGAGCATAAAAAGAAAGGACTGTGAAGTGAAAAGGAGTAATACCGTTCTCTTGTCAGGACAGGTGGAGGCAAGGAAACCGAGCAGGAGAGAGAAGAGGGTTGGGAGGATCTCTCGAAGGGTTCTGGGGGTGTTGGACACCACGATCTTCCACACGTGGAGGGAAGCCTGTCGAACCACAAGCTGGGTGTCTGAACGACCCATATAGAGGCCAGAGAGGACACGGTTACGCCGCTCAGCGCCAAGAGCACCAATAATGGCCTGTGGGGGAAGGTCAAAGGTCAGCAATGCTTAACAAATCAATGTTGAACATATTTGAAAAACAGACAAACAAACCCCTCATTTGAAGTTAATTATCATCAGTATGTTGTGTTTTTTTATTAACTGGATAAATATGTTTTGGATGTGTTGTTGGAAATTCACTTTATTTGATGCTGCTGTTCCAAAGTTGTCATCCTCGGAGGCCGTCTCTGTGGTCATCTTTCCTGTTACTCCGGAGATATGGAACAGAAGATCTCCAAGCAGCTGCACAGAGCTGAACCTGAACACCAACAACAGCATGGACGCACATTTAGTCAACACATGGGTGACATTCATTCGATCAGCAACTTGTGACTGCGTATTTAAATCAAACCTGATTCTCCACAGGTCATCAAACAGGCCCTGTTCCAGCTCAGGAAGCAGAAGTGCGATGGCGGTCTCTGCATACATGCTGACAACTCGCTGGCCCGCTCGCAGTGCTGTGTCTCTCACATATTCATTCTCATCAGCCAGGGCCTGGCGGAGAACATAGAAAGAGGAAGAGATACTGAGCTGCAGTGTAGTGTGATCGGCAGAATGATACACAGCTAAATGATTGAGGTACTTGAGTCAACGACAAGGCAGTTTCCTGATATAGATGCACACAATCAAAACACAAAATCTCAACTCCAGAGTTTCAGCAAATTAAATTTAAGACCTTTTTAAGTCCATTGAATGAAATTTAGGACCTGTCAAATAATTAGATACAATGGAATATCTGAGTCCCACAATTACTAGCACTTATGGTCTAGAAAAGGTGAAGTAGCCTGGTAAAGAATAACCTTAAAGTCAGAAAGTTATCTAAAAAATTACAGTCAGACACAGTAGTGATCAGTTTAACTTCGGTTTAACGTGGTGATAAAGGAGGGGATTCTTGTGGCTGTTTTTTTTGGGGAGAAAAAAAGGGGTTTTGAGAATAACTACAAGTCATAATTTAAGAGAAATAATGTCAATTTATGTCAATACTCTGTCGTCCATGTCCGGTGTTTATGTTATCCTGTGTTGACATCAAGACTGGTGCACATTTGTTTTCAGTATATGCTGATGGTAAAAAGCTATATATTAGCTACCCATACATTTGAGTACTCTGTCAATAAATACATTTCACCACACAAATCTTTTGTTTTTGAAAGGGAAATCAATCTATAGCTTGTCTTCAGCATTTCCTTCTATAAAATAACGAATGTCCATTTAATATGTATACCTATGTATATGGATACATAAAACATACTAACACATTCTTGCCCACAACTGAGTGGCCACTACCTTGAGAATGCAAGGGATGATGGGCCCAACGTAAGGAGTGAACTTGTCTCCAAAGGTCAGGGGCAGGTAGATAAACATCATGATGTATCCGTCTCTGACGTGGGAAGCGATGTCGACCTTGCTGGCTGTCTGCACCACATCTGGCATCAGCTTGTCCAGCTTCTCCACTCCCAGTCCAGCCATCACCTCAGCCAGACCTGAACACAACAACACACAAAGCAGTCAGTGACTCAGTTGTTGAATGATATTGGGAACAAATCTCCAGCAACACACAAGAGAGTGAATAAGAACTGACCTTGTGCAGCTCCGGAGCGATCTACAGAGCTCTGTTCAGAGGCCAGTGTTTCCATGAGCCATGGCAGGAGGTCGTCGAAGCAGGTCTCACCCATCCCCTTTACCATCGCACCCAAGGCCTTGGCTGAGACAGTACGAACCTGGAGAGGAGAAGAAGAGCAACTATAACTTCTACTTTATACAGCAGAACGCACATTAGTGGGGCATGTTCCAGAAAGTGGGTGAAGTGAAAACCCAGTTTCACCTTCTGCTGGGTCTGAAGAAGATTCTGACACTGTGCTCCATTTCCTCATTCCTTTGATTGATCTCAAAGCATTACTTTGCATATATTTATGATGATCAAAAGAAGATCAAACCCCAGCTGCAGATTAAATTGCTATACAACACCTATGTAAATAAAGTTCCAAATAGAGATGTGAATATAGGCTGCATTAAAGGCTCAGACTGTAGAATTTAGTGACATCTAGTGGAGATGTTGCATGCTGCAGCTCAGTACCCATCACCTCACCCTCCCCTTCCAAACATACAACAAACAGAATATATTACATACATGATACATATGTTAAATAAAAAGTTAGAATATAATCTAGTAATCTTCCCTTTGCAAATCACCAAAATCAATACGATGTTACTGTGACAGGTGAGGTTCTTAACTATAAATACACAAGTCTCTTGTTTTCATTTCCTGCTGTCATCAGCATTTTTTTATCATCAGGATACAGGTGAATACATATAGTGCATTTAATTATTAATTAACACACCTCAGGCACTGGGTCCAACAATGAGGCCTTCAGTCCAGGAATGACACTCGGCAGGTAGGGTGATAGATCCTACAAACAAGGACACATATCACACCATAAACAAAATGCTTCAAAAAGTAAAGATGTCATTTTAATATTATATTAAATATTATATTTAATAATTCATTGTAATATTTCTTCACAGCTGCCTACCTTCTGGTCAGTGAGGGAGTACATGTTGCCAATGATCTGAGCGGCCATCTTGCGCGTGTCGGTGGAGCGATCCTGGAAGGCTCTCTGGACGATGGGCATGATGAGGGCGAGTGAGGCAGCGTCGATGAAGTGAACAAACTTGGTGTCCAGCAGCGTCTGCAGGCATGTCTGTGTCTTTTTGGATGGATCCGTGAGGGCGTCCAGCAGGATGGGGGTTATGGCTGAGAGAACAATGACTTCACTGTTAAAACCATCAGTAGTGAACAAAAAAAATCCTCAAAATTTTCCTCTGAATGTAAGCCTCATGTTATTTGTGTGATTTTTAAATTTAATTAATTCATGCCTGGTATTGTATTCATTGTTTTCTGTCACAATTTCTGAGGTGGTATTAACATTAGTCCTGAGTGATCTGATCACAATTGGTAAATGTTAAGTTGACATAGTGGTTGAAATAATACAGATTCAACCCTAAATCCTGTTGTGTTTCTCCACTGGACTGCAATATACAGTCAAATGATTCACACATTTGGGCTTTTTTAAATTAAACTGTATAGACCATCATTTAAGTTTGAATCACATTTACAACTGTCATGCTCAGCGTGCTATGATCAAATAACATAATATTGTCGAGTCCCTCACCCAGGATTTCGGGGTTACGGATGACAGAGCCGATCTGTCTGAGGGCCTGCTGGCCGGCCTTCTGCACCTTCACGTGGGAGTCGGTCAGCACCTCGGTCAGCTTGGGCACGATGCTGGGAAGGCAGGAGGACAACTGCTTGGGAGCACAGTAAGCCATGGCACCCAGCAACTCCACCGAGCCTGGAGGAGAGAAGGGGGTTATTCACAAGATGTATATAAATGAAAAAGATTGAAGACTCAATTACTCTGCTCATCACAACAATAGCTTATATAACTGCTCAGAAAAACAGTCTTCAATCTCAGTGTGTGACAAGATTGTATAAATATCCTACAATCACTGTCGTGCCAGTTCACACTTAAAAAGAACTAGTTCACATTCATAGTTCATTTTCTAAAATGTTGAACTAAGTTCATCATTCGAATAATGAAGTAGTTCAGGTTCATGTGTTTTTGATAGGGATGGTTATGGTTTGATGACAAACCTATGATCATGTATTTAGTTATTGATCGATGTTGTCAGATCATGTAACTGGGCTGTGAGTGTCACGTCTCGTGTTGTACTGAGCACAAAACAACTAATTTTTCATTATGTTTAAATGAAGACTCAAGCAGTGGAGCGAATTAAAACAACACTAAGTTACTTCACGTACTGCTCAGTCTTAATAACTTGTGATGAGTGTTGGTGTTTATTAGTTCAAGTGAGAGCAGGTCAGCAGGAGTGTGGAGGGAGGACACAGGAAACTCCAGCACAGTACAAACCAACCTGGGACACAACTTTCTTCAGCTTTCTAAAGCTGTTTTCAGACATGAACTCTGCAGAATTTCCACACAATAGAGTCCAGACTTTCTCTGGAGTTTGCCTTTCACACATGAACAACACAGCAGGAGATTCTCCACTTAGATGTGTTCACAACAACACAAAATCTCTGGCGGATTCAAGCGAAGAGTGGCACAGCATGCAAGAGACAGAATGTAATGAATAAGTTTCACTGCAGAGAAGTCATGTTTTTGTTTACACTGACAACTGTGTTGAACCATATCAACAATAGCTCTAGAGTCCCATTTCAACTTTATGAGAATCTTCTACTTACATGGCTCCTATTTTTCACCCAGAGATATTTGAATTGTTTTTGGTGTGTTAGAAACATCATCATTGCGTCCACTTGCTAACAGTGATCTCCTGCTGTATTGTCACATGGGTTCACTCAGAGATTATCCTGAGTTTTTACTTGGGGCTGGCAGGAAAAACTCTGGGGAATGTTTGCAGCAACTGACTGACATTTTGGTTCTCATATTCAGCCACTCCAGATAATTACATTTTCTGGAGTTCAGTGCACGTGGGAAAGCAGCTTAAGTGAGACTCAGATAAGTCAAAGCACCTGGAGACGACCAAATAATCTTGCATCCTAAATATACCAGGCCTCGAGTAGCTGTGTATGCATGAGCAACCTCACCTGCTTTAGTTCTCCAGGACTCTTCCTCCAGGGCCACCAGCAAAGAGGGGAGGACCAGTTTCACACCATGGGCACTAAGGTTCCTCATCACAGCCTTGGCACAGTCATCTGCAGCCTGGGGAAGGAGGAGACAGGGAGTGGGGTGATAAGTTAAGTCAGAGAGCACCCTTCAAGTTTTATTTGAGCAGAAAGTGAGATGTGAATGCAGAAGAGGCTGTGGCCTCAGGATATGAACTTCCCACTCACCTCTCTAACATACTGGTTACCATCTCCAAAGCAGAGCAGGAGGTGTGGCAGGACATGGACCACATATGGCTCGAACAGCTTCCCCAACATGTTACATAGCATCTCAAAGGCAAACAGTGATCCTGCAAAAGAAAAACAGGTGGTCAGCAGTTTCTTTTGGCAAAAAAAAATAACTTTGATGCTGAAATCTTTTGGGCCAGTTGCACTAAGCTTCTGGCAGTGGTGTGCTAGACACAATAGCTGTTATGGGGCTGCATCCTTCACAGGCTACATTGGCGAATAGCATCACAGTGGCTGTCCTATTTCGAATGCGACCGATGAAAGTGTTGAGAAACGGAGGCTCCAAAGAGAGGAGCCCAACCTTTTCCAGGAGTCGGTGACGAACCAGTTCAAAAGAAATAATGGTGCTGGCAAGTGACGAGACATCTAATGCTTGAGTATCACGCTTCAACTCAACTTACCAGCTTATGGTACAAATTTTAAATAAACCAAGGGGCATTTAAGCTTTCTCATCATGTCCAACTTCAGCTCTGTTGCTAGGCAACACCAATAAGAACAGGGCGAGCTGGTGACGCAGATCGCGGAAAGCGGCTGTAGACCAGAACAACTACTTTCAGTTCGCCCATGAAGAGAAACCACATCCTCCAAAGGACGCAGCCCCTGAATTGAGTCTAAGCTAATGAGGATGATGTAGTGAGACACACTGGTATCTGTATATACAGGTGTCAATTTATCTAAAGAATGACAGTTTAGCAGATGGATAATCCTCACTGACCTTCTCTCCGCCTGAAGTTTTTCTTGTCCTGGATGGCGTCAGTGAGCGTGGACATGATGTCCTGCTGCTTGAGCGCCAGGATCCCGAGACCTTTGACCAGGCCGGCCAGTCCGTACGCTGCTCCCTTTCTCTCTGCGTACTTGTCGCTCTCCAGCAGCAGCTGCAGCAGGTTTCTTACAATTCCTGCAGCATCCTCTTTAATGGCAGGGACTAAAGGAGGTAAACAGCTGGCGACAGACTCCTGGACCTGATGAGGGATTTGACAGATCACATGAGATTATGTGGGGAATTTTTAATTGCGGTCCAGAGGCAGGAAATTGAGATGTGCATATAAAATTCAAATCTTGAATGCTGAACATTGAACAATGGAGGGTAAGTAAGAACAGTGGAAACCGTTAAGTGATCATGTTTGCCCCAGGCAAAATTGATCACTATAAGCTGTTGATTAATATAACCAATTAGCTTCTGTATGATTGTCCCGGAACTTGAGGGGAAGGTAACATTGCTCACTTGCGTATGAACATGAACCTAGTACGATCTTTCTTCATAACTGCACATTCATCAGCCTGTCCCTGCATGCTCTCTTCCTCTCTCTCTTACGCTGATACAAACACCAACACCCGCACACACACCCACTGCCATCGGAAACGTGTAAACTCAGACTGGGTAAAAACAACAGAATTTGAAAACGTATGGAGCCAGATGAGATGGCGGGGCACGCTCGGTTCGGCTCAATTTGTTTGGCAGCGCACAGCGCGAAGGATAGAGGCTCGGGTAGGAGCAGTAAATTACTCAATGAGCCTGTAAAAAAAGTTTTTTACAATCCAAACATGTATAAAAAGACCAAAGTGAAAAAGACTGTTAAATCACAATATAACTGAGTTATTTAAACAAGCCCTATGACACAAATTGTGATTTGTGAATATGGGCTATACAAATAAAATTTGATTGATTGATTGAAACGGCATTTGTATAGGAAACGGTTGATCACTATATCCAATCACTTTAAGCAGTTTCCACTGTAGTTGGGAGGAGTTGTTTACCTGCTGTGATGGTGTAGAGAGTGCAGTGATGAGCTTGGCCACAATGGGTTTAACTTTGGGATCATTCTTGTCCAGATGTTTGGCTAAAGAGCCCATGAGAATAACCACACTCTGACGGACAGAGTCGTAGCTGGCGTCCTGGGGGGCATTCTTCAGGAACTCCTCAAACACTGGCAGCAGGGAGCTGACGTTGTCCTGTTACAAAGAGCAGGCACATGACGTAAAGTGCATGACAAAAATGTTGGTATTCAATGTGTTTAAGCCGGTGTGAGCCGGTACCTTTCCATGCGTGTTGAGTGCAGAGAGGGCAGCGTCCAGCATGCAGCGCCGCACATCAGGGTGGCGGTCGTTCAGCGCATCAGGGACGAAGAAAAGGAAGAGAGGGGTGACCTGAGATTCATCCAGGTACTGGGACAGCTTGTTCAGAGACAGGGCGATGCCACACCTAAAAAACAAGTGTGTATGAGCTCAGTGCACAAGAAGGAATACTTTACACTTTATGGCTTCTAGACTTCTGTTATAATAATATCATAGCTTTGATGATATTATCTGATAATATCTTAGACTTGTAATGTAGATAAAATGCTGGTTAATTTAGTATTAATTAATTTAGGTTCCTGAGATTCCTGAGAGATCCAAGATTCTCTATCTGGCTTTCAGTAAAAAAAAAAATCTTTGTCATCATATCTTTAACTTAATCTCATCATCTAACTCATTTAAAAGCTTCTGGTATGTCACACACTGAGATCTACCTGGCCTCCCATTGGTCAGGCGGAGATTCAGAGATGACTCGGCCCAGGGCATCCAGCACTGGAGGAGGTCGCTTTAAATAAAAAATACAAATGCATCATAACTTGATTTTTGACTTGAACATTATTCAGTAGTAGCAGCTACAACAGTGAGAGTAATAATGTGATTTGAAAATGTCTCAAGGTCTCACATAAAGTTTCTTTTGATAGAGCTCAGTCAGCTGGCCGAGCACAGTAGCAGACTGGTCTCTATACTCGGACACGGCACTTGACAGAGCATCGGCCGCGGCAGAACGGACCGCTTCCTCATGGTGGGTGACATCTCCAATCAGCAGGGAGCAGAGCTCAGGGGCCAGCTCCAGAGCCAGAGACTCCAAGAGTCTGAGGAGGAAATACAGAGGAAACTAATTAGTTCAACTGTTGATAATACAAATTATTTCGATGCTCCCTCACTGTGCTGAGGCACATTTTGTAGGATTAAGCATTTTTGAAAGGAGAAATCCAAGAATACATACCTTTCAGCCAAAGCTCGCCCCTCCTCCTCAACATCAAACTTGGCAACCCAAAGTCTACGCAGCAAACTGAGCCCAGTGGCCTCTGTGCTGTCAGTGGGCAGGGCAAACTCCATTTCCAACAATCCCTAAGCACAAAGACTGGGAGTTAATGTATGCATACACAGTCAGTAGGTCATGTACTATA